CAACAAGGCTGCGCTGGGAAATCCCGTGTACGCTGTCTGACATGCAATGTGTTCCTTTGCCTGCAAAGTCGGCGCAACTGCTATGAAGCCTTTCACGGAGGCCAATAGGACTACTTGAATACTTGAATGTTTGTTTGAGTTTACTATGACACGTTCATAATGATGTTCATAAACGTTGCACTTTTCCATGCAAAGCCTTTCACAGAGGCAAGTAGAAATACTTGAATGTTTGTTTGAGTTTACTATGACATGTTCATAATGAAGTTCATAAACTTTGCACTTTTCCATGCAAAAGCTGCACTTTTATTTGCACTTTTGTGTTTGTTGGCAATATAAAATAAACTTTTGTACTTTATTAACCAATGGTGTCTTCATTGTGAAAGTCTGGACAGAAAGCAGCGTAAATGTACATACTGTGAAACACAGATGTAAATAATAACATTGATTGAATGGTCTTATCGTCACACAGATAGACCCAATGTCCTCATATGAGGACATTAGGTTTTGAGATAACCACTTATTATAGAAAGCTAAAATTTCATTTTTAGGCTAATTGGGTCCTTATGATCCCAAATGGCAAGGAAAAAATGTATATGCAAAAACAGACCCACTGTCCTCATATGAGGGCATTGGTTTTGACATAGTTCAAGAGCACATAGAAAGCTAAAATTTAATTTCAACTAAAATTAGGTCATACTAATCCCAAATAGTAAGGAGACATAAAAAATGCACATCAAACAAAAGCCCGGGTCTCAGGAGGTTAAGACATTGTTGTAAAATTGCATCTTTGTTCTACTGTTATAACTGCATTTTCATAATTAAAAATTCTTGTAGCCTGACAATAATTGTCATGACCCTTATTGTCATGATTTGTGGTGGTGGGGTAGACATGGTGGACCCAGGTCTGGAGAGTAAATGATGGTTTAATGATGAACAAACAAAATATTCCATGCAGCACAGGTCAGCAGAGGCAAGGAGCTCAGATACTGGTAGCAACTGGTACAATATACACAATTACAGGCAGAATAGACGAGGAGCTGACAAGGAAACACAGGCACAGATGGCATTAAATACACAGAAGAATAATCAAGGAAACAAGACACAGCTGAGATCAATTAAGGGTTAGCACAGAGACTCAACTGACAGAAACCTAAATAAATTCACAGAACAAAAACAAATCCTCACACTTATACAACTCACATAAGAGATTATTGAAATAAAGGCACTTTTTGAAAATATTTTCTGTAATTATTTTTATTATTTCTTTTATAGAAATTGAGAATGGGAGGAATCAATTCAAATCAAAAATGCCATGGATAAAAATCTTGTAAGTCATATCATCCAGCCTTATTTAGTACATTGAATTATATGACTAACTGCATATTTCTTAATATTCATATTTCTTTGCTGGTATTACTTGAAAGTGTTGCATTTTAATATTTCACTTGAATTCCTGATCTACATCCAAATACTTCATATAATGTAAACACTGAGATAAGGGAATAAAGGTTTGTGAAATGTAGATTATTACAAAAGAGATTACATTTTAATGTAAGTCCAAACAGTAT